CTCCGGTCGTGGGGTGGCCTCCGGTACGCTCCTTCCGGCGGAACCTCGCTTCCTCGTCCAAACCGCCGGCCGCCGAGCCACGCCACGGCGCGGGCGGCAAGGCTGATGGCAGCATCTACAAGGGCCGGTTCGTGAAGATCAACATGGACGGCGTCCCCATCGGCCGGAAGGTGGACCTTAAGGCGCACGGCAGCTACGGCAAGCTCGCCGACGCCGTCGACCACCTCTTCCAGGGCCTCCTCGCCGGTACGTGCACACGCAAACCGGCACTTCCGTTCCACGAGCGAAACTGCGTGCCTGCGTGCGCTTTGGTCGATCATTGGCTAACTTTGCTCTGTCCGCTCTGCTCGCGCCGCAGCTCAAAGGGACGAGAGCTCCTGCGCGGGGGAGAAGCCTGCGGCGATCACGGGGCTGCTGGACGGCAGCGGCGAGTACACTCTGGTGTACGAGGACGACGAGGGCGACCAGATGCTGGTCGGGGACGTGCCATGGGAGTGAGTTCGATCGATCTTCCCCTTGAACAAACCAAGCGAGAGATTTCTGTCTCAGTCGCAAAACAAACAAATTTGTCCTCTTGTTCTGAACTTACTGACGACGATCTCTGGACGTTGTTGCAGCATGTTCATCGCCACCGCGAAGAGGCTGCGCGTGCTGCGGAGCTCGGATCTGAACGCGTCCTCGGTCAGTACAACTGCAAATGCTGATGCTTTCTCCACATCCTTCAAGCTGATTCATCTTGCTTATTGTCGTTCCTTGTTGTTGGCAGCTACGAGCGGCGGTGAGCCGGAAGAGGGGAGCGGCCGAGTGCTGAGCCATTTATTTAGGGAGAACACATATGTCGCTCTCGATCGGAATGTTTTCTATCCTTTTTGCAAGCTAGCTAGACTTTCTGCTATCGATCTGTATAAATTTCCCGGATCTCTTGGCTATCATCGTGTCATGTTGCTATCATCGAGCAGGCCTGACTTGCACTGTTAGGATCATGTATCTAGTGCAGTGTCGTAACTCGTAAGGTGTTGATTTTTGGAACGGCGCAGGAATGCTAAGTTTGGCTTTTATCGACCACTGTTGCTGCCTCTGTGAGGGGGGAATCTTGGTCAGTGCCCATGTACTATACAGCGATGTTGCTTGCTGAACTGGGTTATCATGAATGCTAGCGCCATAGTTTCTCGTGATGCCTGCACCCACAGTTCCGGGCATGTTGCGCGCCAGCGAGCAACGAGCTCACGGGGCTGGATCCCTGCGCCAAAATGTTTTTGAAATTCTAAACTCTCAAGTAAGGATTTTCTTTTTCAACCATGTGAAAGGAAGTAAAAATATGAAGTACGGATTTTATGCGACGTTCTACAAGAATTTTATAGGGATCTGAAGGATTGAAATGAAATTATACAGGAATTTCTCATATACTCTCTCTGTAAACTAATATAAAAGCGTTTAGATCACTAAAGTACTAGTCTAAACGCTCTTATATTAAGTTACAGAGGGAGTACTACTTTTGGCGCTATAGGAATGGATTAGTTGTGCCTATAAAAATAAAAAGGAAAGAGAATGGACTAGTTTCCTATAAACACATTCCCTTTTTCTACAAATTCTAGAACAAAACGCGAGGTACTTTGCATCAAAATTTCTCCAGTCCGAGGCAACGTAGTCCTTCTTTTGCTAATTAAGAACAAAAACATTTTCATGCCAAATTCCCCTTTACATTTTTTAAAATCACGGGTATTTTCAACCACATTTAAACTCAAAACTTTAAAGGATTTTATGGGACTCAATTTCTACATGAATCTAAGGGATCGGGATGATTTAAACTACAATAATACTCCCTCTGTAAAAAAATATAAGTAGATATCTAAACATTCTTATATTTCTTTACAGAGGGAGTACTTTTCTGGCTACATGAATGGAATAATTTCGTATAAAGGAATACATTTTTCTTATGAAATTCTTGCAGGGCAACCAAGCTATACTATGAGGTTCTTCTTTCTAGCCAAAGAACCAACAACAGAACTCTTACATTATTTGCCCGTAAGTGTAAATTTTTTGTGTTTCTATTAGTAAAACTCTTACATTATTCCCCTTCATCAGTATATTGCCCGTAAGTGTAGCATTTTTGTGTTTCTATTAGTAAAACCATGTACGGACCCGGTACGTAGACTTGTAGATAACCTACAAAGGAGATGTGCCATTAAACACAAGGAGTAAATGGCGCGTGCAAGTGCGCCACCAATGTCATTTGTGTGTTTCCTTGCCAAAAAAAAACGTCACATGCATGTTCAATTCATTCGAACCCACAATCTCATTTCAGGAAGTTTGCTAGAAAGGCTTTTTTATGGGAAATGAAATAAGTTTTTTCACTTGAAATAAAAGGTCCATTTTACATTATGGCATATGTTGCTAATTTAGTTTTTCTTTAGTGTCTGATGTCTGAAATTTGATTAGTAAGATATATTGGTTGTGGTTCATTGATGTATCAAATAAATGGTCTGATCATTTTAATAGCCCATTTTCTACTTTGATCTGTATTGTGCTTTTAAGCAACTCCAACGCGGCGACCCATTTCGTGAACACATGAACAATTTCTGAAAACGTGAAAACATTTTAAATTTTGAACATTTTCTAAAATTTTAAATTCTGGTAATTTTTTGAAATTTTTACATTTATGAAAAAAGGAGAAAGCAAAGGAAAGGTAAAATGAAACAGAAAATAAAAAAGCATGAAGAAAACCAGAAAAATAGTAAATAAACAAAACAGGGAAAAAACAGGTTCAGAAACCAGTTGCTCGCTCGAAATGGGTCGGCCCATGTCGCGTTGCTCATTGAAGCGAAGCTGCGGAGAGCAACTAATATAGGAGCATTCATTCCGGAGCCTCCCAAGGGTCACTTGGGGTGGTTAGATGGTTTTTTTCGAGCTTTTTTGGCATTTTGATTTTTCACCCGTCTTTTTTAGCTTTTGGACAAAAAAATTCAAATTTTTTGCGCAAAAAAACCCGTTTCCTTTTTCTTTTCGTTTTCGCGAGATGCATGGATTTACTTCCGTGAAAGGCACGTTTTTGCTTCTGCGAGAGACATGGTCTTAGGGAGATTTGAACACACGATTTAATAGGTAAAACGTTTTGAATAAACGAACCTATAAAAAAAGGGAAAATTCCCATGTTGCAATAAGTGGCGCACATACAACACGCTACTTCTCGCGGTCTGGGAAGGTGAAAGTGATCTTTAGAAGAAGTACTCCTCAATTAGTTATTTCGGAATCTGCGACTATTCGACGCACGCGGACAGCAAATAGAATCTGGCGCGAGAAAAACCAAATGCTTACTACCGGGAGCAACTAGTTAACGAGCGCTCCTTCGCGAGCCTCGCAACGATCAGCATCACTTGGCGCGCTCTCAGCCATTTGCCACGTGTCGCGCTCTGGACGTTCCCTTCGGATTTTGTTTTTTTATTTTTCCGCACGTGTTTTCGGCTTTTTAAACGGTTTTTTTTCCGGTTTGTCCCGCCGTTTTGGTTTTCCCCCGGTCTTTCTTAGCTTTTCGATCAAAAAAATTCAAATTTTTTTATGCGAAAAAACACGTATTCTTTTTTTTTCCTTTCGAGAAAGTCACGGTTTTCTTCCGCGAGAGGCACGGTTGTGCTTTAGCAAGAGTCACGGCCGTGCCTTTCGGAAATGAAAAAAAACGCATTTTCTGTTTTTTTCTTTCGCGAGAGTCACGGTTTTGCTTCCGCGAGAGGCACGGTTGTACTTTCGCGAGAGTCACGGCCGTGCCTCTTGAAAAGGGAAAAACAAAACGCGTTTTTTTTTCTTTCGGGAGAGTCACGGTTTTGCTTCCGCGAGAGGCACGGTTGTGCTTTCGCGAAAGTCACGGCCGTGCCTCTCGGAAAGGGAAAAAATACGTGTTTTCTGTTTTTTTCTTTCACAAGAGTCACGGTTTTGCTTTCGCGAGAGTCACGGCCGTGCCTCTCGGAAACGAAAAAAATGCGTTTTCTATTTTTTTTACTTCCATGAGAGTCACGGTTTTGCTTTCACGAGAGGCACGGTTGTGATTTCGCGAGAGGCACGGACGTGCCTCTTTCGGAAAGGGGAAAAAACCATGCTTCCGGTCCGGTTTTTCGCCCGGTTTTTTTCATCCGGCTTTTTTGTGAAAAAAAAGTTCGTCAAAACCTATCAACGTGGGATCTAGTTTTGAAGATCTCGACGTGAGGAATCCAACGGTGAAAACGGTTCGAGATTTGGACGCACGGTTTAAGAGATAAAACGTTTTGAATAAACAGATCTACGAAAAAAGGGAAAACTCCCAAGTTGCGACAAGTGGCGCGCTACATATGCGCCATTTGTCGCGACCTAGGAAAGTGGAGTGTTCTTTGCAACGAGTACTCCTTAATTAGTGATTTCGCTTACTGCCGCACTCTCTTATCTCTAAAAAACAAACTACCGCCCTCTCATAAAGGCCCACGTGCGACAGTCCATTAGGCCGACATTACATGGGCCGGACATTTATTACTCCGATAACAATTCCATCTCCATCCAGCCCAGCACGAATATTGGCGCCGCCGTCCCTTCCTTTCTTCTCCCCCAATCCAACTCCAACTCCTGAAAATACCCCTACCGAAGCGCAAAAAGAAACTCGAAGCACAGGAACACGAAGCAAGCTGCCCCCCCTCCTCACCTCCGACTCACTCACGATCCGGGATCAGGTACGACCCCGCCCCCGATGCTGCCGCCACTCGATCGCTCAGTACGTGCGCTTCTGCGAGCTCAGTTCGCCCTTGCGCCGCCGCAAATAGATCGCCGCGAGAAGGGTTTCTAGGGTTTCCGCGGTCGCGATTTCCCCTCCCGATTAGTCTCGTTTCGGCCGTTGCGCGCTAGATCGGGGACGACTGTGGCGGTAGTGTGACACCTAGGTCAGGGGAGCGGGGATACGGCGCGGGTTGCTGGTGATTCGGTGGGACTGGTTCGGCGCGATCTTGATTTGTTTTCTGTTTGGTGGTGTGCGTGGGCACAGGATGGCCGGATCGACGGAACTCCCTACCAAGGGCGGCTTCAGCTTCGACCTGTGCCGCAGGAACGCCATGCTGGAGAAGAATGGCCTCAAGATGCCCGGGTTCAGGAAGACCGGGACTACCATCGTCGGCCTCGTGTTTGCGGTGAGCCACTGCTCTTCTCCACTTACTCGCTTTTGAAGCTGGAAACAGAGGGGCAGTTTAGTATGTGATGTTACCAGCTACCGCTTAAGATTTTCTTGACGACAACACTCTTTGCAAATTAGACGGACTCTGGGAGAAATTACTTCAGATTATCTGTTTACCTTATGTTGCAGCACATTCCCATGTTCTGTCTGGTAAATTTTCGTTTGAGTAAGTGAGTATGTTTTGCCAAAAATTAATGGATGCTTGCATGCCAATCTCTGACCCTCGCAGTAGTTCTTTCTAACTGACAATGGATGGAGAATCAAGCCATATGGCTTCAATCTGGCATCATTTTGTGGTTTCTCCATGAATAAATTACTAAAAATAAGGGGTTGATGAACCATGTTTTGTATCTAGGATGGAGTTGTTCTTGGGGCAGACACAAGGGCAACCGAGGGTCCTATAGTTGCTGATAAGAACTGCGAGAAAATTCATTTTATGGCACCAAACATATATTGCTGCGGTGCTGGAACTGCTGCTGACACAGAGGCTGTGACAGGTAAGAAAGAAGTTACTGACAGAAAGAAACCAAATCAATCTTCATTTGTTTACTCGTATTTTTCTCAGGATCTATCACACAAACGTCATGATATGTGCTTTTACTCCAGATATGGTCAGCTCCCAGCTACAACTTCACCGTTATGCTACTAGCCGTGAGTCAAGAGTTGTAACCGCTCTTACACTACTGAAGACACATCTTTTTAACTACCAAGGTCATGTCAGTGCTGCTCTCGTTCTTGGCGGAGTAGATGTCACTGGACCACATCTACACACTGTGAGTAACTGAGTATAATTGTTTGATGGTCTTCTGATAAGAGAAATTCAGGCTAGTTTTGATAACTTTTGAATCCCCAGGTTTATCCGCATGGCTCCACCGATACTCTTCCTTTTGCCACGATGGGTTCTGGATCCCTTGCTGCAATGTCAGTGTTTGAGTCGAAGTACAGAGAAGGCCTCACAGTAAGTGAACAAACGCAACAGTTCATGCACTTGACTATGTGGATATCTTAGTATTGCACGGGTGGTGACTTTGCTTTAGCAGATCAGTGCTTGTTCTTTGTGTATCATTTTTTGTAACAATATGTACTAACCGATTACTTTATCCTGCAGAGGGAGGAGGGAATTGCACTTGTAGCTGAGGCAATCCGTGCTGGTATCTTCAATGACTTGGGAAGTGGCAGCAACGTGGATGTTTGTGTGATAACCAAGGTATGTAATTATGTAACTTTTGTTCTGTTACCTGAGATGACAAACACTATAAGTGTTTGCAAACACGGCCAAAATGTTCGATGTTTATATGATGAGCTTCCAACCTACTCCCTCCGTTCCTAAATACAAGTCTTTTTAAAGATTTCACTACAAACTACATACGGATGTATATATACATAGTTTAGAGTGTAGATTCATTCATTTTGCTCCGTATGTAGTCTATAGTGTAATCTCTAAAAAGACTTATATTTAGGAACGGAGGGAGTATTTCCTGTTTTGGTCCTTCATTGCACATGGCTGACATACATTTCTCGTTGTAAATTCTACTCCCTCTGTTCCTAAATATAAGTCTTTTTAGAGATTTCAGTATCGACTACATACGGATGTATATAGACGTAGTTTAGGGTGTAGATTCACTCATTTTGCTCCGTATGTAGTCCATGTTTAATCTCTAAAAAGACTTATATTTAGGAAAGGATGGAGTAGTAAGTCAAATTCTCAACATAATTATCTATGCCACTGCATAGTTTCTTCTACCATGCGCTAGAGTTTTTGGGAAAATTATAAGATGACAGGGTATGTAACTAGCAGGGATACGCAGTTGTTTCGTTAATTAAGGGCAGGTGTCGCTACCTATTGTATTCAGAAAGTACTAGTTGAATGCATTAGCATTGATTAAAGTGCTGGAATATGTACTATTATTAGTTTAGTTGGAACTAATAGTGTGCATTTTTTAGCCTCACTGCTTTGCTAATCTAGTTTCTTTGTTAATAATTCCAGGGGAACACAGAGTACTTGAGAAACCACGAGTTACCAAACCCAAGGACTTTTGTCAGCTCGAAGGGATACAGCTTCAACAAGGGGCATACCGGTAAGTGACTGATTAATGTCACAGGCTACATACATAGTGATGCTTGAGCGTTGTGAAGTTTTTGATATCCCTTCTCTTGTTTGCAGAGGTATTGTCTACAAAGATCACGCAGCTGAAGCTGAAGCCAGAGGTCGCTGATGGTGATGCAATGGAAGAGTGATCTTGTGTGCTTACGCTCGGTCAAGTAGTCATGCTAAAAATTTGCGCCATTTCTTCTTTTTTCTCAGCGTGGGTGCTAGAACAGAAAAATGGATGTATTTTGTTGTACTTGCTGAATTTGATGCAGACCTTTATGTTAAACTGTCTCTGGGCTGTTGGTGTTATCGTCTATGAATCTAAAATTCATATTCCCGGTTAACTATGGCAACCAAAAGGTGTGATATGTTTGTTAACTTGATTTCAAATCACCAAGTAGTCCAGTCAAATTGTGTGGGAGGTTCATAATGCCAGTGTACTGTAACTCGGTTCCTGAAGATTGGCTAGTATGGGGTCGTATAATCGATTGTTAATGCGCTAGGTGCTACATATAACACCTGAAAAACATGTGGCAGTAACCAGGACTTCTGCGGGCGGGCGGGCGAAATGGGATGTTGAAATTGATTTCCTGGAGATGGACTGTCTTAGCATCTGGGGTGATTCAGAACTGTGTGAATAGCTTATACAAAGTAACAACGTTCGTATCCATTGCCCAAGAGTAGGTTAGAGCAACTCTAACGGGGCGCGACCTAAATGGACGGCGCTTTTGTCCGTTTGGGTTGGCCGCCCCCGGCGTCAGCCCTGTTTAAGATTTGGATCGGCAGTGCGTCCAATATGTCGACCCATATATACCGGTGTGGTCGGCTAGCCGCCGTTTTCCAACAAATAGCACAACTTTTGCATTATTTCACACACAACTTTTGCATTATTTCACAAGCAAACATATAGTCCACAACTACATAAATAGCATAGTTTTACAAGCCAAATAAAAGTAAAATTGTCTCACATAGTTTGGCAAGCTGAATAAAAAAGATACATCTATTGGTTATCAACATGAGCCCACATATGCTCAATCAAATCATTTTGCAATTGCATGTGAGTTTTCTAATCACGCAAGTCATGATGAAATTAGGTGAATTGTTCAAACGTTGCCGCTCCTCCATGCTTAGGCACAACATTCTCACCTTGATACTGAAACCCTTGATCGTAGAGACGTTCTGGGCGCTCATCTTCTATGATCATATTGTGCATGATCACACAAGCAGTCATCACCTCCCATAGTTTCTGCGTGCCCCAAATATTAGCAGGATACCGAGCGATGCCCCATCGAGATTGCAAAACACCAAAGGCATGCTCGACGTCCTTCCTAGCACTCTCTTGCTCTTGGGCAAATCTTTTCCTCTTCTCTCCGACAGGGTTGGGGATAATCTTCACAATAGTGGTCCATTGAGGATAGATACCGTCACCCAGGTAGTGGGGATGGTGCCACGGTAGCTGGCGCTTCCGGTTGGTGACTTATCTCGAGAATCAGGGGCCGCTCTCTGGTGTGTCACCGGGTCCATGCATCGGCAGGCACGAGGTTGCTCGGCGAGGTCCTCGTGTGTCCCTCCCCTCTCGCCCTTGCTCCCCTTTCTGCTCTACGTCCTCGGGTCCCGGCCCTCGAGCGAGTCTCAGCCGTCGCTGGTATGCCAGGTCGCGATGTCTTGGACAAGGCCAGAGGGTGAGGGCTGGAGAGCCAGTAGGAGCCCTGAGTCGCGATGCTCAGGCACCCCCCCTTTAACGTGCAAGCGGTTCGCGCGGATGAGAGTGGAGGAGACACCGCAAGGGCCTCGCCTGACGCAGCTCCTTTAAGAGATCCTGTAGACCCATCAGAGAAAGAACGAGGGGTTGCCATGACAATTGACAGTCAGCCGTTGGTTGCTTCCGAGGGGTAATGAGGCACTGAAGGCTTGACGAGGTGGCGCCATGCGGGGCTGCCGCGGCCAGAGCTCAGCCATTTAGGTTTGTCGGCGTTGTAGGGACGGACCCATGCGCAAGCGTCGTGCCGTTTGGGAGCAGTTCCGTCAGTTGAGCGGGCAACTAGGTCAAGCACATTAGCCGCGAAGGAGTGGATTCATTCAAATAGATGCTGGGAAGGCGGACATCACTGGGTCAGGCCCAAGTGACTTGGGGATCATGCAGCCCGAGGGGCGCCCCCAACAAGGTAAGCTAACAACATGAAATAAAAGGGATACACGCCGCAGGGACGGATCCACGCGGCCTGGGAATAATGCAGCCCTGGGGGGCGCTCCCAGCTGGAAGTGAAACTTGAAAGATGTCACCTGATGACGTTGAGGACGATGGGGTGTTGGTGTAGCAGACTCGATGGGCTGCGGAAGCCGATCCTCACGAGCCCCTAGGCCCAGGGGCCTCGGGAGGCTCCGGAGGCGCTGGTGGCTCCTCGCGGACCATCTCCATCTCCGCCAGGGCCGCGGAACGCCTGGCCTCTTGTGCCTCCATGATGCCCCTCATGAGGCGCTGGTACGTGGCAGCCACGTTCGGCAAGCCGTAAGGCATGCAAACGTAGCTGTGGGGTGGACCTCCGCAGCGCCCCACTCGCGAGGGCCAGAAGCGCTCCAGAGAGGCGACTTGGTTGAGCCCTGGTATGTCGATGCAGACGTGCATCCCACCATCCTCGCCTGGATGGGGAGCCACTGCTGGTAGGAGGCGGCCGCCTTTCATGACTCTTGACTCCTGTAGCTCCTGAATGGCCTTGCTGACGAACTCCTGAGGGTCTGGCTCTCCTTGCCTTGCTCCTTCTTGAGGGAAACGTGCTTCGAAACACGCCTCCATGTGGTGCCCAAGCGCCTCCCTCGTTACCCTAGCCAGGTCGATGGCCCTCCAGGGGAGAGCCCCCGAGCCCTGCCCGAGGAGGGCGCCGGGCGCGCTTTCCTATGCGATGGAAGGAGGTTCCCCCTGGGCAGGCACGGGCCCAGAGGGGCCTGCCTCCTGAGGGGCCGGGCCGGATGATGTCTTCTTCTTCTTGGGGGCGGTCTCGGGAAGCCTCCTGCTTCCGCGATCCGGGTCTTCCAGTGACGCGGCCTGAAAGGCTCGTTCCAGGGAACACACCGCGTCCTTCTCTTCACAGGGCACCGTGATGACTCCGCCACTTCCTGGCATCTTGAGAACGTTGTAGCTGTGGTGAGTTACGACCATGAACTTGGCCAGCGCTGGGTACCCAAGGATGGCGTTGTACGGCAGGCGAATGTGAGCGACGTTGAAGTCGATGAGCTCGGTGCGGTAGTTGTCGCGTGCCCCGAAGGTGACAGGGAGGCGGACCTGCCCAATCAGGACCGTGGAGCCGTCGGTGATTCCGGAGAAAGGCTTGGTTGGCTGAAGCTGGCTGTAGGGCACTTGGAGATTGTTGAATGTTTCCACGGACAGGACGTTGAGCCATGCCCCGCCATCGATGAGGGTCCTGGTGACCACCACGTTGCTGATGATTGGGGAACAAAGCATCGGGAGGACTTCGGCTGTAGCCACACACTTGAGCTGATCTGCTGAGCTGAACATGATGGCGCACGCCGACCACCTGAGAGGGCGCGTGGCTTCGAGCCTGGGGAGGACTGCATTCACTTCGCGGGCGAAGTGCTTGAAGATGCATTGAGAGGATGGGGCTTGAGCCCCGCCCAGGATGCAGGCGATCGCGCGCTGCTCCTGGAAGCCCCCAGCCCCCTCGTCCTGGTGGCGGTCCTTGTTTCTCCTTGGCTGCGGCGGCAACGGAGGGAGGCCTGTGTTGCCTTGCAGGCGATCCTCGCGAGGCTGATCCCTCTAGTCTTCCTCGCGAGGCGGGTCTTGCCAGCGATCCTCGCGAGGTTGATCGCGCCACCCTTGGCGTGGGCCACGGTCTTCCCATCGTCCTGCGTTCCTTCCTCCTCCTCGACCGTAGCCCCGGTCACTGCGGTCGGGGCGACGGCCGATCCTTCCTTCTCGCACGGCTTGGAGCTCTTGACATTCGTTGGTGTTGTGGGTGTGGAGGTCGTGGTACACACAGTACCGGCTGCCCTTGGAAGGTTTGGGCTGATCTCTGCCCCGCTTGGTGTCTGGTTCTGCCGCGAGCACGGCAGCCCCCTTGTGCTTCACATCCTTGGCCTTGGGCTTCTTCTCTTCTGGGTCTGTGGCAGGCAGCTCGAGGAGGGAGAGACGCCCTTCCTCAGCCCTGGCGCACTTGGTTGCCAAGTTGAACAGCTCCAAGGAAGTGCACAGGTCTTCATGCATCGCCAGCTCCTCCTTCATCTTGACATCACGCACGCCGTCAGAGAAGGCTGAGATGATGGCCTCCTCAGTCACCCTGGGAATCTTGAGGCGTGCGTTGTTGAAGCGTTGGATGTACTTCTGCAGGGTCTCCCCGGGTTGTTGCTTGATGCGGCGCATGTCGCTCACGGCGGGTGGCCGGTCGCGAGTACCTTGGAAGTTAGCAATGAAGCGGGTGCGCATCTCGTCCCAGGAGGAGATCGTGCCTGGAGCCAGGTTCAGGAGCCAGGTGCGGGCCCCGTCCTTGAGCGCCATGGGAAACCAGTTCGCCATGACTTTCTTGTCTCCGTTGGCAGCTTTGATGCCCAGCTCGTAGAGCTGGAGGAACTCCGCAGGGTCAGCCGTGCCGTCGTAACGAGGAGGCAGGTCTGGCTTGAACTTGCCGGGCCACGCGACGCTGTGTAGCTCGGTGGTGAAGGCACGGCAGCCTGCTGTGGCCACGGGAGGCCTTGGGTGACGGAGAGCTTGGTCTTGCATGTCCCCACGCGCTGCAGCTGGGAGAAGCACGGGGTCTTGACGTGCAGGAGCAGGAGCATGGTCGCGACGTGCTGGAGCAGGGAGCGTCCGGGCAGCTTCTTGCGGGCGAGGGACTTCCTGGCAGCTCTGCTCTTGCCGCGCTGGCACCTGAAAGAGCGGGTTCCGCACAGGGGCCACGCGCCTTGGAGCCATGGCGCCCTCTTGAGGAGGAGGCGGCCGGGGCGCCGCCAGAGCTTCGTCGCCCGCGCGGGGCGGGGTGCGGTGTAGCGGAACAGACAGCGCAGGAGAGCCCCCTGCGGCGCGGACGAGCTCGGCGACGCGGTCGAGCCATTCTTCGTAGACGTCGTCGACGGGACGGTAGCGCAGGAGCTCATTTGCCGCGATGAGCGCAGCTCGAGCCTCCTTGGGTGCGCG